GCGGCGGCGCGGCGGGCTCCGTGCGGCGCCCCGAGGGCCGCGCCGCGCCGCCCGCGCGCTACGAGAACCCCTGGACCGTGCCCAACGTGCTGTCCATGGCGCGCATGGGGCTGGCGCCCGTGCTGGGCTACCTCATCGTGGAGGAGAGCTTCGACGTGGCGCTCGGCGTGTTCGCCTTGGCCGGCGTCACCGACCTGGTGGGTGCGCGGGGCTGCCGTCCCCGTAACGGGGCACGGCGACGCGCCGSCTCTCAGAGCCCTTGGGCCTCCCCATCCCTAGGGATGCTCCGGGCACCTCGCAGGGAGCTGGAGCAAAGCGGTGTCCGTGATCCCCATGGATCCCCAAGCGGGATGTTGCACCCGTGAACAGCCTGTGCTCATCCCGCCACCCGGCAGGTGCATCCGGATTCACAACGGATCCGCACGGGTTTGGGGGCACGGCCTGAAATGGCACCTGGCATTTAGTGTTGAGGATTGAATGTGCGTGGAGGCGGCCGGAATGCGACCGGGAAGCTCCCGAACGCTCTCCCTGTTGCGTCGTAGTTAACTAACTATTAAACAATGCCGTTTGCCAAATACCTTTGGAGTAGCAGCACACAGAAACCATAGAAACATAGAAATCTCTYCATTGTTTACATCACTATTTACATTTTTTATTATCTATACTTCTAAAACATAAACGTTGAGCTTTTATTCATTTWCTTATTTATTTTAGCTGGATGGATTCATTGCCCGGAACTGGGCTAACCAGAAATCCGCCTTGGGAAGTGCCCTCGATCCGCTGGCTGACAAAATTCTCATCAGCGTGCTCTACGTGAGCCTCACGTGTGCAAATCTTATCCCAGGTGAGAAAAAGTCGTGACCTGCAGGTATTGTGTAAAGTAACCGTGTGGAATTTAGCTGTACTAATATTTCTCATCATATATGTAGGGAAAATGGCTGTAAGGTAAAACTCTTKGTTGGTTACATTTTGCTTTTTGCTTCTGTTAAATATTTAAAAATTTACCTTCCCCCTCAAAACAACCAACCAAGCAAAAAGCATTACTGCAAACTTTAGTCTTTAAAAATCAGAATAGTCTTAAAATTTCAGATGAAACCCTTTCAGAAGTCAGCTTAAATATCATCACTCACATGCAAAACTTCCACAATAAGTAGACAGTGATTATTTCTTTATTATTATTTTATTTTGGATGTGATTTTTCACCCAAGTGCTTTTGGCTTGTGTTTTTTTTTTCAGTTTCACTCACTTCTATGATTATTCTGAGGGATGTAGCGCTCATTGCTGCCGTTTTTTATGTGCGATACAAAACTCTTTCTCCACCGGTAAGTGCATAGCATTGAACAAAACTACACAGCTGTGTAAATCAAGATCTCTCGATTACATCTTCTGCATTTGTGTGTATGTATAGAACTAATAAGCAGCAGCATTTAACAAAATGGGAGACAAGAAATTTTCCTCATGAGGTCTGATAGTTGCTCAAAACTTAGATGGAGATACTGACAGATAAAACATTGTTCTTGATCTCATGCCAAATAAATAGCAGAATTATATTTTGCAAAACAGGTTTAGTAACGATGATACAGATTTATYGATGAGTTTCCTGTATATGGTGTCTGACAGATAATGCAAGAGCAGTAGCAATTTAATTCTTTAGTATTATTGACTTTTATATGAAAACGCATCTCAAATATACTAGCCTTGCCTTTTTTTTCTTCCCCAACAGAGAACATTCAGCAGGTATTTTAACCCCTGTTACGCTACTGCCCAATTAAAACCAACATTCATTAGCAAGGTAAGAGTAATAACTCATTACAAAAGATAATTGCTCAGTGTGCTTGGGGTGGTGTGCAGTTTGCATCAGGGTTTGTTTACTACTGTGAAACGTTTTTATTTTGCTGAGTCGTTTTCAAACTATTGCCAGCTTATTTGGAGGCAGCTTAAASTCTGAGAGAGCTTCAGTGTACACGGACAGAGCAGGTGCTAAAGTTAAGCAGTCAGGATGTGTCATAGGAAAYTCATTTTAATGTTTTTTTCTGTATATGATTGATACTTAGGTAAGAAAAGTGTGTGTTGGTATTCATTGCATGATGCACTTTGTTTTGGTCATGCTTCTGGTTTTGTTTTTATCAGATGAACACTGCGGTTCAGCTAATTTTGGTGGCAGCTTCTTTAGCAGCTCCTGTTTTCAATTATGTGGACAGCATATATCTGCAGACATTATGGTAACTTCTCCTTCATCTTTTTTTTTCCAAATATTTAGCATATTTTAGCATATTTCTAAAGAATTTGACAGTCGTGATTAACTCTGATGGTTTAAAGCAAAAAGCTATGACCAAATGATGGCATTAGGCCAATCCATTTGATTTTATCCTCCCAGATTTATTCTTGACTGACAAATAAGTTGAGATATTTATTGGTACGTAATTTACTGTACAAGAAAAAAATAGCCCAATAAAACCAGTAAGAATCCAGGAGCAACAGCTAAGGACAAAGTCTTACGAAGAGGCATAGTTGTATCAAAGAATACACCCATAGCAGTATAAAAGAAGAGAGTGAGAAGAAAGCYTGTATAGTTGCTTATTTATTCATGCTGTAAATGGTCTTGATCTCCGGAAAAATGGACAGAGAARTATTTTGTTCTTGCTTCATGCTGTACCTGCTGTCCTGAAAACTAGATTTCTGAAGCCGCTTTAGGAAGCACCCAAGGAAATCAGTGATTTTTGCAAGACTGTAGCAAGTGAGGAAGGAGATCATAAGAAAGCAGGCATGCAGAAGTGTGCTTTAAATAACAGCCTTTCCTTTTACTGCTCTCACTGAAAATCTTAACAATTAATTGTACCTGATAGCAAGTGTTAGCAAACTGCATGAGCAGTTCCGTACAGGTACAGAACAAGGCTGAGCAGCATTTGGAAAATTATCTAGTAAATTAGTTTAACACAGCAGAGCATCTACCGACATTTATCTTTTTATTATTATTAAAACAAACAAAGACTTTAGGAGCTAGGTACCTTTATCTTAAGAGCCAATGTGTTTTTCATCCTTTTGGAAGCCTAATCTGGAATCACCTCTGTGAAAGGCACTTACCTTGCCCCTGCGCTGAGACTCTATGAGAGAGTTCACGTATAGTGAGTAACGGAGAAATGTGAGGCATAATTTACCAGAATACTCTAGAAATACCCTCMAAAAAAGGCAGTGGATGCACGAGCCTGCCCTTGTGTTGGATGATGGCAGTGGTAACAGAGGGGCAGGACTCGGTAGTGACTCGTGCTCGAGTGGTTTAGCCTTTGACACAGAGGAGCACTTTTATTTAGAAATTTTATTTAGAAATTTAGAAATGTCTGTGGTGCTAACCTAGCGTCTGGGAAGGGAACGAAACAGGCTAAAGCCAAAACTTTTGCTTTGGAGCATGCTAAAATAACAGTAGTTTCAAGTTTTGTGCTGTTTGAACACTCCCTTCTCCTACTGCCAAGGGCTTGTTTCTTGTACCAGTCAGTTTTCAAGCTAATAAAAAATTGTGTAGGCTACAATACAGAAACAKATTTTTGTTCTCCCTTCTCTCAAACAAGTATTAATTTGATTAAAAATTCAGTCTTGTATTTCATTGAATGGAAACACCCTACACATCTCACTGAATGCCAGTTCATTCATCTAATCCTCTCTAGTTAGTGCTGAATTTCAGTATATAAGCTGTAACCTCTATTCCTGTATTTTATGGTGTCATTGTAGAATAGGAAGACACCTGAAAATGTGATTTTTTTTCATTGCCGTACTTAAATGATTCAAAAGGATTATTTTCCCCCAAGGTGCATCACAGCTTTCACAACGATGTCATCTGCGTATAGCTACTACCACTATGGCCGAAAAACAGTTCAGGTGATAAATAACAAATGAAAGGACTGGGCCTGGGCAGCACGGTTTGCTGTACTGCAGAAGATGGTTGCAATCACTGGGCTTTTCATAAAGGACTCTGTTTTTTCTGCTTGAACCATGGCATCGTCACAATGAAATGAAGTCGGAATATGTACTGTGTATATAGAGAGAGACTTTTCAATGTATTTTTAATTTGTTTAAAAGTAAGATTGTTTACAAGAACAAATAAATAATATCCTTAAAGACGGGTTACTGGTTGCTACCATGCGCATTTTCAGTAATTTTTACTTTTTCCAGACGTTAGAAATAGGCACTTTTCACCAGCTTTCTTGGCAGGGCGCTGAACAGACTGAGATCAGAGTAGAAAAAGCATTTTTAACAAAAATTCTGCTTTTGTGCCTCAGCCTAAGGCTGCAAGTGGCATTGCTCGTTAGGACCCACGACTTACACCAGCTTGCTGCAGAAGGAGACACCACAAAGAAATAGTATCTTCAGAAATTGGAACTGGAATGATGGCAAGTTACAACATTTATGTGAATTATGTGTTGCCTTCCCCTCCCTTTTTTTTTTCTTCTCTTTTTTAATAAGACCATCCAAACTCATCTAAAAACTCATCAAAAAAAAGAGTTTTGATCCTCAGAATGGCTAGTGTGTGCCACGATGAATCTGTACCAAAGTTAGATATGCAGGTATTGTTCCCCTTGTAATTTCTAGTGAGAAAGTTGCAAATAATTTCTAGTGATTAAAAAACCAACTGTATTTCCAGTTCCTTTAAAGCTTCTAAAGGTGCTATTTGATGCCAGTGGAGAAAAAAGAAGACATTTTAAATATTGTCCAAATGCATGGAAAGGGTGGAAGAAGATTAGATGGAAGAAAATTGGAAGGGTGCCCTGTTAATATTTGCTGTAGTCCTGGTTTCCAGAGCTGTTCTGTGACCCCAGTCTGACAGTGGCAGCTCACGCATCCTTCGCCTGTTCCCTCTTCCCAGGAAGGTATGGAATAAAGGACAAGGCAGAACGGATCATGTTGATTACGCTAATTCATTTCATAATTTAGAGCTACGTGTGATGACGTAGAAAAGAGAGCAACTAGGAAGGGCTTAAATAATTGCAATAGGGTCGTAAAATTTACTGCTGTATTAGCAGAAGAAAATTTACTGTAGACGTCTCTTTTGAGAGCACAGTCTCTTGTGACTGCATACGCTTGTATATACAAACCATTTTAATAACTTTTATATTAAAATTTGTACGGAAAGGTGCACGGAAAAGAATAAAAGTTTGGTTTTTATCAGTACCCACTCGTTGGCTCTCACCGTGTTTCGTGGGCAGCCCCGCACCTTCCACCRCCACAGGGACGCGGTGCAAATCCAAGGAAATGGCCTTAAAATAGCCGGGTGTTCCGCAAGAGCTGAGTACTGCTTCCTCGAGGAACGCTGTTTATAAGGCAGCGATTTAAGTTATCCGGGTTGCTGGGTGTTTTTAATCACAAGGGTGTTTTTTATTTTTAATCACAAGGGTCTTTGAAACCTCCTACAGAAACATGTAGGGAATGGGAAAAACACTGCTCACGCCTGTCGGTGATAAATCGGTAACAAATGTGTAATGATTTGGTGACACTTAGGTCGAATAAAATTCTCGATGGCAGAACCCGTGCTGGTTTTATTTTTATTTTTTTCCCCTCCATTTTTGCGCTTGGCGAAGGCGCCGTGCGTTTTGGCCCCGCGCCGCCGCCGTACTCGGAGCGGCGGCCGCCCCTTCCCCGACAAGATGGGGGCGGCGGCCGCCCCTTCCCCGACAAGATGGCGGCGGCGGCGGAGGCGGCCGAGGGCGGCCGGCCGCTGGGCGCCCTGCTGGGCGCCATCGCGCAGGCCGCCTACCACGGGCAGCCGCTGGCGGAGGAGCCGCTGCGCGGGCAGCTCTACCCCGAGGCGGCGCCCGAGGAGTTCCGCGCGCTGCGCGCCAAGATGGGCGGCCTGCTGCAGGTAGCGCCGGCGGCCGCGGCCCTTCCCCGCCCGCGGATGGGGCCCGGGTCTGCGAGGAACCTGCCGGGGAGGACCGGGACCTGCCTCCCCCTAAATACGAGGGGAAGGGCGCTGCTTTCCCCTAGTATTTAGACTTCAATTCAGCTACGAGGTCGACAGCTAGTTTCCACACATATRTATGTGTCAAAACATACATATGTGTCAAAACATACATATGTAATGTCAAAACACATGTGTATGTGTGGGAACTATAAGCTGTATAACTTCCCTAGTTTCCATATATTTCCATAAATATATATCTTATATATATTTGAGAGCATATATATTTGAGTTTATCACTTGTTTTTATAGCCTCCGTATGAAATCTGTGTGTTGGTGGGAGAGTGTGTTTAAAAAGCCCCGTGAGCTGCTTGAAACCCTGAGGTCTGGGGGTAGTAACTGATCTGTGAAGTGAATTAGCACCAAATTCAGGAGCGACTGCAGCCTGGCTTTGTAATTGTGCCTATTTCACACTGTTTCTTGGTGTCCTTGTTCTCCAGCGATGTAAGGAACCGCTTAKGTGAAATACGCTTTCATAAATGGAAAATTTCTTTAAATTACCAATTTCTTGCTTGTTTTTCGTGCTTTAAGTCAGAGGCGGGAGCTTCGTGCACCGGGCAGTGCGACGGCTTCAGATGAGGGCAGCGCTGCTTGGACCGCTGTGTGAGGTCAGAAATTACTGAGGTCAGGTGTGGAGGGAAGGGAATTACTGTGAAATTCCTGAGTCTTTACTTTGTCTAGGAAAGACAAACGGGAAGAGAGGAGTGGGACAGACATGAGGTGTGTTCTTTCCTCTGTCACAGGGTGTTTGCTGCTGGTAAGCTGGGCTGGAAACCCAGMATTAGCCTCTCCACTTGTTCTCCTCTCCCTCTTACGGGTCCTGGGGACCTCAGCTGGCAAAGCCCAGTGAGTAGCCGTGTCTGAGGCTGTGGTTAAAACCCAAGGTGTTTCAGGTGCTATTTGACACTCTCAGAATCACCAGGAAAATCACTTTCTGCTGCATCATACTTATATATTCTGGCTTGAAGGAGACGTTGCTGTTTCCTGCTTGAGCAGGAAGGTTGGACTAGATGATCTCTAGAGGTCCCTTCCAACCTTAAATATTCTGTGATTCTGTGATRTAATARGAAGCTAAAAGTTCCTCTGCTTTTCCACTATGAGTTCTTGTCATTGATTCCTATTCAATCTTTGATTCACTTTTCACTTTTGAAATTATTTTCATTTCTAAGTCTACGTAAGTCCAGTTCCATTGGGCTGTTCTTTTTCCCCTTTTCTGGTAACTTTTTCTGTTGATCTAATGGTTATGTTTGGCTCATCTGTTTTTGTCACTGCTTTTTTTCTGAGGTGCCTTGACTGTAAGAGATAGGCCAGGAAACTAGTATGTGCACTCCACTGATTTCAATGCAGTATATTAGCTTCAGATAAACAATAACTTGATATAAGTAATCCCCAAATGCAGCACAAACTCTGTTTTCTCTATGTTCACGTGTGTCTTTGTAGATAGCAGTGATTGCTGAAACGAGACAGCTGCTCAGCCAAAATGATGTGTTTGAGTCCAGAAGACAGAGGGTGTCACATCCAGAGGCAAGAACAAGAAAGGCTGAGGTTGGCAAAGCATAGTTGATGAATTTGGAGTTTTGTGAGGATGCTGGCAATTATGCTTCTATTAAGGTTTTTACTGTTTCTTTAGTGAAACTGGAGAAAGAACATTATCAGCTGAACCACAGAGAAAGATGCTTGCATTTCTGGTGTTGTCTGTGTTTCTCAAAGACAGCTCCTGTTCAAGTACTATTAAGATGTCCTTATCTAAACTGTTTTGGACTGGTAACTCTGGCGCCAGGAAACACAGATAACTAAAGTCACTGGATATTTAGGCTTTGTTGTAGTAACAGTGAGGAAGATTGTGATGTGCTGTGTTCTTTGTGTGCTGTGTGTGTAACGAGTGTTACCAAATCGTGTCTTCCAATGTAAAGCAGCATCTCGTGTTCATTGGGAGCATCTTGTGATCTTCGTGCTTTAGTGTTCAACTCCTTGTGGATGAAATTCCTAGGGAAGTGTCTCTTTTTATGCTGTTCGACCTACTTTGGAGATTGCATTGTTGAGATAAGCAGTAGATGAGCTCCTTGCAGCTTCATGTTGAGTGTGTGGGCACACTTTGGACTGCTCCTTTCTAGTGGGTCATTTAGAGACAGTAATATCTGAGTATGATGAATTCCTTGAGAAGCTCCATTCTAGAGCAACCTAAAAAAAAAAAAAAAATCCTTGATTTCCTGGTCATTTTGAGGGTCCTTTTTCGCATATACCTGTTTAGAGGAAAGCAGGCTTAAATTTACTCTCCTCTTCCTCCATATCTCTGGAGGAGATCTGTACCCCTCCATATCTCCATATCCTCGCTGTTATTTGTGATACTTTCTTAGTTCTTACAAATCTCAGTCTGTCAAGTGAACAGACTCATCTGAAGCCATCACACAGAAAATGTGATGTGAGCCTTCTCGCTGTCCTTGAATGTGGTGGGCAGGAGAGGATCAGGGCCCAGACATCTTTGCCCTGCAAGTTACTCAATCGAGTCTCCAGGCAGCTGAGAACCACAGGACTTGGTTCTGCCTGGCACACYCTTAGTATCCTTGTGAACCAAAATGAATGTGGAGTGATGTAATGTGAATTAAAGTATTTGTGTGAATTACACTTTTGGGACATATTATTTTGGGTCTATTGATAATAATAAATTTACGAAAAAAAAAGATCATTTTGATGATCTTAGTCTTTGGTCGTGTGTCGTGGCTGGTTGTTTTAACTATGCTTGACATCCATTAGGCACTGGGGAAACAGCGTGTCCTGCGTGATGAGAATGTTAATAGCAATGCTTGCCTTTTCTGTGTGATTTATTTCTCCCTTCCCACTCCACATGTTGATRCAGGGAAATGAGCAGCAGAATAACAGAAGACTCAGGTATTTGTTCGTGCAGGCAGTTGCCTTGTTGGGGYAGTGATCTGCATCTCAAGGTCAGAAGAAGATGAGTGACTTTTACATCTCTGTTAATGATAATACCTAAGTTTTTGGGRGACATAGACCTCATTTAGGAGCGCAGCTTCTTTTCCTAGTCCAAAGGTAGGTGGCTAGTTTAGATATTCTGTATTGTGCTCTGTTGATTAAGGAATGCAAACACCTGAGTTCGTTGGGGTGAGTAATGCCCAATTCCTGCTTTTGGGAGATTTCTCTTGACGTGGGTAAGTAGCTACTTGTTGTTTAGAAGCAGGGAGATTCCTTACCCTTGTGACCATCTAATTCCTCCAGTACTTCATGCTTTCTGAATAGTGGTCCCCTTAACATCAATCAGTATGAGTATAAATCCCCCTTTTGATGCATTAGAAATTAGTGTAATTGGTTGAAGGGCTTTTCTCTACCCTGCTGTGTTACACTGGTGGAAAGCACAACAACCCACCAAGCAGTAACTTTACTGGAGATAAATAAGAGCTACAAAACTGTTTCACGCTTACTGCAGCAATAAGCCTTTGTTTGTTTTCCAATTTATTTATAGAATAATATTTTTTATTTACAAACAGTGTTTTGATACTASACTGCTTATGACTGTGTCCTCTTCATATCTGTTTTGGGCATGAAGCACATCAAGGAAAAAGCTGTTTGAGAGCAGGACGTAGTTGTTACCTTTCTGTTTTGCTTGTGAAAGATACACACTGTAATTTTGCCTTTTCCTTAGGAATCATCTCGTAGAGATAAAGGACCTTGTAATGTATCTCCTATGGAAGAAGTGGTGTACTTAAGAATGCTTAAATCTTTTATATTTGCACATGTTTGTACAACACTTACTATAGTGTTGTAGTTTATCAGTCTCTAAGCATATTACATCACTAAGCTTACCAAAAGTTTCCGAGGAAGGTGGATAAGAGATCTTTATTTTGGCAAAATGACCTCATTTGTAAAACCACCCCACGTGTAGAACAGATCAGGGGGAGCCTTTCTCCCGTGAGCTGTGCCAGTCTCTCAGATATTGGTGCTTTTCTCGTCATGTAAAAGTGGGATAGTTGTGCTGATGTTCTCTGTTTGCCTCTCCCTGTGCAGCATGTAGGAACGCTGCTTTGTGTAGGAACCTTTTATTTCATTATGTTGTTCTTAAATGATGATGATTCCTATATCTGTTGGAAGGTTCTGATGAGACCTCTCAGAAAAGGATGGAATAGATTGTCTGCTAGATTAATTGTCTGTTCTAATTGTAACCATTTTTTCCCCAATRTTTTTAACAATCCAATAGTTTACAATAGTTGTCTTCTCCCGACATGAAACTAGGCCTTTTTTTTCCAGCACCTTTCCTCTTCGTTTCCATGTTTTATTTCCTCTTTTTTTTTCTGCAGGATGTGCAAAAATAATCTCATCTCTTTCCAAAACGGTAGMTTTGCTTTGTAGAGGAATCATGTTATCCTACTTTTAAATTTTCATAATCTCATCCAATTCCATACAGTTTCAGGACATTTAGAAACAGGGAGACTGGCTCCTGCAAGTTCTCACCCTCAGTGTTTTTGTATTTCAAAGACTTTTTCATCCTGATTAAAATACTAAATTTGTCTTCTTGTTACAGAAATTTAATTTTCTGAATTGATTCCCTCTTTTTTTTTTAATCTTCCTTTACACCCAGAGTAATTCCACACTTCTCCTTTTGGTGGCACTAGCCTATTGGATTTCTTGAGCATGATTAAATGTGTTGAAAGTGTTTGCTCTCCTGCTTCAGAACAAAGTGCACATTGGCTAACGAACTAGAAAATTTTGCCATGAGGTGTCCGAATATTATATTTGACTTGTAAGTATATATTTCTGCAAATATAAAGGGCTTTACCCTCAGTAATACACACTGGTGTTTCACTGGTAAAATATTAATCAGATTGTACACAAGTGATATGAGAGAACAGAAAGCTTAATATCTAGGGTATAAAATGCAGCCTCTATA